AGCAAAGACGTCACACAAATCTCAGTTCTTCTTCCAAGACTATAAAGCAGGGTTGGGCCCGTCCTCAGAAGAGGGTGGCTGCCATAATATTGAGTAAGGAGCGCAGATAACGGAGCTGCTCTCCAGCCTCTGTCTCTGGGGTCCAAACATTCTCCTCAGCCCTCGACGCGAGACAAACTTCCACGTCAGCAAACGTCACAGTTTTGTGCATATTAATCGTCAAACGTTTCGAGAGGCTGGAGACGGAGACGGAGAAGGGCTCTTAAGGTGGGCGAAGCAAAGGCCGGTAGCGAATGAGAGTTGGCGGACTCACCTGCAGATGAAGTATCCCGTTCGGTTCAAGCCGTGGGTACAGTGGACCCCCATGAGCGAATCTGAAAAGAAAATCCAGTTTCATTCATGCGATACACAAGTACGGGCAATTTACCTCGTATTCTTGGTGAAGCTGCCGGACTTCTTGAAGGCGAATAAAATATCACTGAGTTCAGAACGGGGTTACGAACCTGGCTGTTTCAAGGTTCGGATTCGTGTATATTATAAAAATAAAACTATAATTCACTAATTTGAAAGCGTATACGAACGTAAGGCTGTACTCCATTGATGAGTACACGGAGCTTCCAAAAACCTTCTCTCAACACGAAGTGTCAGCAAACATTTATTAATTCCCCTGCCAACAACCAGATTTACGGCTGTGCATTAAGCGAACACCTCGGTAAAACCACGCAGAAAAAAAGGGAACATCACGAGACACAGGAGCCGACTGCCAGGGCCATCAGAGTATCGAGACCACTCTGAGGAAGTAAGCGACAAGGGAGAAACATATTAAAAAGGTCTGAGGAAAAGAGGGTTGGTGCGAAGTGGATTCATCTGGCTCAGGACAGGGACCGAGAGGGTTGCGCACACGGTAATGATCCAGGTTCAGTCAAAAGCCGAGTGTGCCTACCATCAGCTTCTCAAGAAGGACTTCGCTCGATGCAGTGACAAACTGGACGACGACTGCAAAGTCGCAGAACGTGAATAGGTCACACGCGCTAGAAACCGAGTTTCTTCAGTATACGAATTGGTGCGGGCGATGTGTGGGTTTGCTGGCGCCAGAGTACAAGTTACAAGTGTCCCTCCTGAATCTGGTCATCAGCTGTCTGCATCGCGCCATGTTGCTGACAGACTCCTCTCATCACCGGTGCAACGGGACCACGTCGGGGCGCCGCCGGGTAATGAGTGTGGGCGTATCAGTGTACGTCCGTCTCAGCGATTTCATTATTTCTCACAATTAGCCGATGTCCTGACTCTGCAACCTGTTTAAATATCACGATTTGGACACCACTCCATGTCACCAAGAACACTTCTACCTCGTGACGTGAAACGAGGGACAGGAAATTCAACGCATGGTCTTAAATAACGACGTATTCCGGAAATACACGGCGTTCTCAAGACAACTTTCCCGTTTGTTAACATAACTTTGTACGAATCATGCCAAGCTGGAAGCGTTGATTTTGGGAGTAAAACTGAAGAGAAATCATAGATTTTTAAAACGCGTGCATCGTAACAGTACGCAGCGGTAAGCACAGATGATCTACTGAGGGCTGCTGAGGAGAATTCCTGACGGAGATGAACGGCTACCAGAAATATGTGAGGAACAAGAGGACTAATTGTAACCAATGATCTCAGTGGCCGGCCGACTTCTTGTTTCGGCTGGGTGTGGTTGCTGCCCCCGACAGCGTCACGCACTGCGCGTACGGACAGGTACAGGGTGCCTGAGAAAGACGAATTCGCCGCCACTTTCAATCGAGCAATACTCGCCCAGCAACCTCTGCAGTTGATACGGCGCTTTAAAGAAAATCTGAACGCACAATTCCGGGCACGTCTCGGCTCTGTAGACCGTCTCTTCACAGCTCCGGTACGGACGGATGCCCTGCGCCACGGAGTTGCTTCCCGGACACCCTGTCCTGCGGAACGCACACTTCATCCCGATATGGTGCCATTGCCTCTCGTTCGCTCGGCGCTGCGGTATTTTTGACACGCCCAACTTATTTTAAAAAGTTAACATCGGTAACAATTATCGGTTACCGATAAGCCTGCCTGCCTGCGTGATGCATAGCCTTGTGCCGGGAACGTCGGCCAGAGGCGCAGACTCCGAAAAGAGTCCTACAGCGGAATAAAATACATTTTGACGTTAACACTCTACTTAGTACTGACTACGCCTCAACAGACAACTCAGAGAGGGATGGGCGACGCTCGTAGCACGCAGAGGCGCACGAAGTGAAGGCGAGAGACTGTCTCGGAGGCTTGGACGTGCACGGGAGGAAAATAACAAAATGAACCTTAGAGGAACACGGGGCAGGATGTGCAGAGGACGAGGTCGAACTGTTGTGAATACGGCGACGAACACCCGAGTTTTCTTAACATGAGGAAAATTTCTTCTCATGAACAGCGCAGCTTCACGAAGCCAGTCACGTGACAGTACATACTGCAAACGCTACCTCGTGTAATTATTACCATTCTTCTTCTTCTTCTTCCCCACTTTGCCCTTGTACTCTCCTGAAGCACGACTTAAGGCCGCTGTAAGAACGGACCATTCTACTCGACGCTGCTGAACGCGATTTAAGCCCCCAACCCCGTCTTGTCTTCTATCCGTTTCCTCTTGCATCATTACTTTCACTTGTCCATCCTCATCGTGACTTCTCTCCCCCACCCCCTTCCGTCTCCACATTTTCTTCATATCTGTCGCTCTGCCTTTCTGAAACCAAACTGTCCGCATGTGCCACGCTCCTGTCTTCAGGAACTCACAATAAACACTTCGTAATATTCCTCACACAGAACGTGTTCCACCGAAAATATTCTACGTCTCGTGACACCGAACAAACTCTCACTGAAAAACCATTCAATAATTTTGGCGGGGGCGTGTTTCTGTGCATCGCACAGAACGGAACATTTCGCCACGCAGCGTCATAGACTGAGAAGAAGTTCTTTTATCGGCCATCAAAATTGCGACGTCATATCCCAGACGTCCAGGCGTCTTCGAAAATGACGCAAATAAACCAAACTGGCTCTTACAGCCTACAACTCCTGTCACAATAGAAATTACATTCCTTCCCTGCATCCATTTTAGTCCAGACTGACTCAGACGAACACAAACACCACCTGAGGAAGAAGCAGTATTGTCATCTCCTTTCGCATCTTCAGATGGAGCCCGGCCCAGACACCCAGTGATTTGTCCCTCTCAAACTCCCATCCCCCAAAGATCAGGAAAACATTAGTGCGTCGTAAATACGCGTACCCGTTCCGCTACTGCACGCAACGAAGGTTACGACACGGGAAGTATTCAGAAAAGGCCACAGCATACACAGCTCTTATCGACTCAGCTCGTCCTTTAGCTCCACATCAAATTTGACAAGTACATCGGATTTCTTTGGTCTCGTTCACAAAAAGGAACAAATAATTTTCAGTGACGAATCCCCCCGACTCAGCAAATACCCTACTAAGATGGTGTTTCGCAGTTGTATGCGGATTTATGAACACACTACCCTGTAGTGGAACAAGGAGAGCCGTGTTCCTGGAAGGAGCATTCTGCCTACGCTGGTGTTGTACCTCTCGACGGGCACCACGGGTCGAAAACCAGACGAACAAGTATGTTGATTTCAGTAACCCCACTTTCTGCGTTACAAAATACTTCACTAGAAGCACTCACTTCGTAATCTCGCTCCACGCTTTTAAAACAAGGCGCGTTGGCGTTAAGACACTGAAATCGATTATTAGGCTGTAAGGAGTTCTATGCTATTACAGTACGTGGATTGCAAAGTAATGGGAGACAGGGCCTACATACCGGAGTCACGTGACTCGTCCAGGAAGGCGTCCACAGCGCTGAAGAACCTGAAACAAGAGGCAGAACTGTAACATGGTAAAACACCTCGCCTACATCAGAACACGGAAGCAAGCAGCGACGACTTGTCTGCCGAGTTCCTGTCGACGTCAGGCCCAGGGCAGCGGACACATACGACCGCCCGAGGAGCCGTCAATAACGTCATATGAAATCAACCGAGCTCTGCACTCAATGCAAACACGTGTAAGCCTTGAAAATGCCATCGAAACATGAACCATGGTAGTGCAGACCTGATCTCTGCTGTAGTTAAGTCACCGACAAAAACAATTAACTTCTCTAATAATAAGATTCGACAACCCTAACAAACAGCTAAGCTCTGGGAATAATCTGCTTCCAACTGAATAAAATCTCCCGTAATGAAACTCACGAGAATTAACGTCATTCGGCTACATCACCAAAGATTTCTGGTTCTAACCGCGGTAAGAATGTCGATGTTAATCTTCTGGGTTTCCACGCCGGCGTTTCGGAGAAACATGCTATCTCCATCTTCAGGGTCTGAAGCACGATCCTCTGAAACGTCGGTGTGGACCTACGTCACAGCCACAGGGGCAGGGTTCGCGTCAGGATGGCAACAAGGATACTTAAACCCCGCTTTTGGTGTTCAGGACCAATCCAGCTCGAATTTCATAACTGTTCTCGTTTCCCTCACAATCACGACAAACTGCTTCGAAATCCCTACGCCCATCTTCAGTACGGTGACTAAGACATATTCTGGTACAACCGGATCAGCTCCTAAACACACCTTCCGCCATTAATATCAACACAATCGGAATGTAGGGGCATGCCTATCACCAAAGAAACAAATATTAGGTCTTTGTTACACGTGTGGCTCCGTAAGTTTACATATTCAGAAGATGATGACTTTTCAAGTTTCCGGTACAACACAGGGAGCAGATCCTTTGTATAAATCCAATGCAATATCAATAAACCGAAAAGAAACCAACATTCGACAAGCGCACTATTCACACACACGCAAAGAACGACAGCTTAACGCTTGATAAAGGACTTTCTGAGCAGCCGGAAGGCGCTTAAAGTCATCGTGCACGCTCACTCAGACCGACTCGGAGCCACAGCCGAAAATCAATTTCGCCCAAAATACAGTTTACTGGGAAACTCGAAAAAAAAAAGTCTCGTGTTTTGTCTCATCTTCTAAGAGCACAGACGGACATACACGAAGAGGGACGTTTAACAGTTTATGCTATTTTATTGTACGTTTTGTCAAAATTGTCACACAGCTGTTATACTTCGCCGTTTGTTATAAGGTTTCCAACTTCCAACAGACGAGGCATTTCCCTTACGGCACTTATTAAGTCTTTGCATCGCGAAGGGCAACTCCACCTCTATCCAGCGGCACCATCGACAGAAAAGAACTTAACTTTCTCGCAGGAAGGAAATCGAAGCGATCAACGCTTATGAAATTCGTATCAGCACGGACTTTAAGCAGGAGAGTCCCCTGCAAATTATACAGACGAACCCGCCAATGACTCGGTCTGTTCTTCACAGCATCCCCTGACAAACGAGACATTGAACAATAGGCACAGATTTATTTAGAAATATGGAATAATAGCTTTTCGACAGTTTATGACAAACGAGACGCGGAACAATAGAGGGACGCAATCCGGGGCCCGGCGGGCGGTGCACTGCGTGAGCCACGACTTGGACATTTCTCCTGTTTCCTGCCATCACTCACCCAGATCTAATGGTCCTCTCTCATCCTGACAGACAAAAGAATGTTCCCGACGCATTCTGAATCACCACAGTTTTCACAAAATGCAGTTCGTCAAGTCGAACGTCGTCTTTAAAAATAAAAATCACACAATTTTCCGAATCATACGCAACTCGCCACTTTAATCGAAATAAACTAGGCTCAACACCAGCCACTCCGGTGCTGCCGTCCGATATCAACCAAAACTGGGGACGTTTCTCATCCCCCGTGGGCATGCTACATGTCCGGCCCACCTCACGATAACTACAGCAGCAGAACTGGACGGCCTCGTCAACAGCAAAGAATTGCAGATTGGCTGCATTTGTTACTGGACATCCTGTCGCCTGTTTTTTGAGAATTACCCTTAAGACGACTTCATTTGACAGACTGCCTTTTCAATGATTCGGCTGAACATAAAACAAGACCACTGACAATCAGCACATGAATAAACAATCCACAAGTGAAATGAAAGCTAAATCCTCCTTAATGTATTGCAGGGCGTTTGCATCATCAGCTCACACCTTTTTATATAAATTCAGTACAGGGTCTAATAGTTCTGTAAACAGAAACAATGACATTTGAATAATATTAACACAACAAAAAATCCGACCTTTTGAATGCGTGTGGTCTGCCTATAGACAGACAGACAGACACTCAACGCTGGGCCAGGAACACTTGGAAGTTGCTGTCCGTGTTCCAACGCCCCCAAACACACACTTCCATATGCAGGAGCCGTAGCGCCACCGAGGGACACGACACAATTTGATTTCTACTGCTCCAGAGTATTAAAGAGGGCAACCAGGTCACGTGATCAGACAAAGCCACATTGGGGCGAAGCGCCTGTTGAAACAGGTGGGTGAGCACTGATGGGCAGCGGGCCCGTGGTTCGACTCTTGACACTTCTTCAAACTCTTCACGGACGAGAAAATCAGAATTCCGACATAATTACTCAACTACTCTGACGAGGGACCGTCTCCTTCCGCAGAGATTCAACTCCTTCCGAGGCTGAAACGTACGAAGCTTCAGCCTGTGGTCCTTAAATTAAGAAGAGCGAGATGGGCTTGCCCACAGCACGCATGGTGTTCGTTGAAGAACCGCAAAATAATAAAAGCTATTTTGATTGAAGATTTATTTGTTCTCACATTTGTACCGAAACTGAGATGAAATCACAGGATTAGCCCTGTAATGATATATTTTCAGTTAAATAATTTTAATAGAAGTTTAACAACAGATAAAAATATTTTTAGATTACCGCGGTAATTTAAACTGTAGATCTCAGGGTGCAAATGATATGATATAGAAAGACGTTCAAACTACCAAATAAGTAGACGAAACGTACTGGGCATAATGAAATAATCTGTAGAAACTCGTACGAGAACTGCTCGGCCAACGAGGAGAGGTCGGAACATGCCAAAACCGAATGCACAGCTGGACCAGGATGTTTATGCGCCTGGCTGCGAGGTTTGCGCCTAGACAACCAATGGATGGCATCAAGAACACCACAAGCGAAGGGCGATTCAAGTGTTCGTTTTTGCATTTGCCCGTGGCTGCCCGCGAGGTTACAAATTAGTGCAGGTTGTTCAACACTTGCTGCGATGACGCCTATGCACCCAAACGCCGACTCACACGTTCAAGTGTGTGGTCCGGGGTCCCCACTGACAGCAGCAGCTCAAACAATGACGAGGCGCATTCACGTTCCAGGACCAGATCATGCCCTGCAATATCATCTCTTTAGAAGCTGACAGTCGCTCAGCTACTCAGGAACTCCCCGGCCTCTTGTAGAAACAAAAACCCATCGTTTCCAGGCCGTGCTGTCTTCACATGAGCAGCCAGCGGACTCTCAAGCGGGTAAACTTTTAATTGACTAAATGCATGGAGCTTTCACGAGTGGCCAAGATAAACAACTCATAATTTCTATCGGCAATCCTGGACGCAAATGTTACAGATAGAAGTAAGTGACTAATACTGCATGTACCACAAAAAGCAGCCCGAAAACATGGCGGCAGAATTAATATGAATAACTTTAATTATCTTACCAAAACCTTGCAACTGCACATCCTAAACCAATTAACGCGTTTAAATAACAAGTCGATAAGAGCAAAGAAGGCCTGTAAAATCCAGGCTAGTTAATTTTCCGACGTTTCCACGTTCTGGGCTACACAAACGCAGTGCAATGAACTGCTTCGTTCCTTTGTGTCTTGCAGACAGTGCCATCCAGTGCAGAGGCACGTTCTGAATGGTCTTGCCGCTCGTGACGGAGACATTGTCTGCCATGACAGACGAGCGCACGGGCTATAAACTTGATTCGTTCCCAGACATACAAAGAGCGCGGTCTCAGGTTCCTAAGCGAGCATCACGCATCAGGCAAATTCTGAACGACCACTTTATACGATACTTGGACCTGGCACTGGTGGGAAATGGAGGACACAACGAAGAACTTGCCGAATTAATCTAAGAACGCGAGCCTGGGGCCTGTTGTTGAGGTCCTTACATTGACGACGCTACGCGGCCAGGGAAACCCGAACTGCACACACAAATTTGGCAGAAAACCATCTTCGAGTCCGAGGCAGCGATGAGGGTATGATAAAATGAATCATAGGGAGTATCGCGTGCAGTGGCTGTGTTCGACCCTCCAGCTGCGAAGTATTTCTAAGTGGCGACTCGATTCAAATACCACCGAACGAAACAGACCCGACGTTCCACAC